TTCCGGGAATTTTCCAATTTCAGTACCTATATCTTTCGTGACTAGCTGTCACATGTACATAAGGCCTCGACTTTTCGATTTTACAGTCTGTCTATTCATTCATTTGTAAAATCAATGTATTTTCCTTGCCGAAAAGTTATTTCAATTAAGATATTTTTAGTTAATTATAAATTTGTAGCTGTTGACAGAGCGTTTAAATATCTGGTGGTATTTCGGGTGAATTTTAGATTTATTGATTGTGTTTGATTGAGTTCGATTGGGTTCGATTAGTTCGGAAGTCGAACGCAATCGAACTCTCTCACAAAAGATTTTTGGTGCGATTGTGTTCAAATATCGAACTGATCGAACCTAACCATTCCATTAAATTCGATTTGGGTTTGATTAAGTTCGATAAGTAACATCGGGAATATCAAAGCGATCAAGCAACTGCAAATCAAATCAAATCACTCAAAGTCTATTACTGTTTCCTTATTCTACCATCGTTGACCACGTGCTGTCTAAAAACAAGGATACTTGCTTGAAAGTAATATTAAATTGTTCCGTATTGTTTCGCGTTTGTTTAATTCTACTGCTTACTTAAGCAAATAGTAACGAACCAAAACACCGTCCTACCTTTGAAAATGCGGGTATCCAAGCAGTGTTTAAGCGCGCAGATGGCTTGGTAAAATTAAAGTAGACAAGAACAGACCGCCATTTTGAAGATTAAGTCAACTGGCACACCACATGACCGCCCCAAGGGAAATGGTTTAGTGGGCGCGAACCATTCAACCAGAATTTCAGGATATTTTGGTCTAAAACTGACCAAAGTCTAAAATTCCGAAAAACCTAATCCACCTTTCAAGGTGGACCTCTTTTCTTGGACGGGTCCGATCGAAAATTCGTACCAGTGTCTTTTCTCAATCCCACTACGCTGTTCGATACTTTCGGCTGGGAACGCTAGAATGCCAGGGCGCTGGAACGCTGAAACACCGGAACGCCGGAATACTTAAAGCCGGAAAACAAAATTACTAAAACCCGGAACGCATAAAAAATTCTAAACGCAGGATTAATAAAACCGGGATACAAAATTACTAAAACCAGGAACACATACGAAACTCTAACGCCGGATTTCTTAACTCTACAACTCTCTTCCAGGAATAATAAAACACATGCTTCAAGCAGGAGAAATTGTTTACGTGTGACAATGTTTTCCCGCCAAAATATAATGATAATTATGTATCAACTGCAGTCAGGTGTGCTTTCATCGAGAGATATAGGGCGCTTCTACAAGGTGAGTTTTTTTCTCTTTTAGCTCGTTTCTTTTCGTTTAAGATGTACAAAGCGTTATAGATCAGCCAATAAATAATTGTTTTATTACCGAAAGCAACTTCCGAAAAGTAACGACCCCCAGAAAGTAGCGACTCCGGGTCGGTACAAAACGTGGACACCTCAATCTGGGCCCCCTACTGGACCTCCTTTTGGACCCCATCTGGACCCCATCTGGACTCCTTCTGGACCCCTTCTGGACCCCTTCTGGACCCCTTCTGGACCCCTTCTGGACCCCTTCTGGACCCCTTCTGGACCCCTTCTGGACCCCTTCTGGACCCCTTCTGGACCCCTTCTGGACCCCCCTTTGGACCCCCTTCGGGTCCCCCTATTTTTCCTTCCGGAAGATACGGGCTCTATTTAATCAGTGAACACAATGTGAAGAAATGATGAATTCACGCAGCATTGTGAATAATATGATGGCTGCAGCCGCAGTTAACTGAGNCGGAAGATACGGGCTCTATTTAATCAGTGAACACAATGTGAAGAAATGATGAATTCACGCAGCATTGTGAATAATATGATGGCTGCAGCCGCAGTTAACTGAGTCAGATTTTTAGAAACGTGGTTAAAATTCCCAAATAACTTAACTCGGTTAAAGGTTGGTTATGACGAAACAACGGGGTTATATTTTACGAGTGGCCGGAATGGAATAGGTTATGAAGTGGGTGAACTCAACTGACGTCGTGACGTGGATAAATCAACAAAACGACAGGCTTTGACAACGACAGTCTTTTATTTTCTTGATTCTTTTCCTTTGTTTTGGTGTCCTTCAGTTTCTTTACATTCACAGCTAAGGCAGTCTCTCTTCCTTGTCATGCGCACCATACACGAATTTCCAAGACAGTTCTTTCGAACATGATGTTGATTTCGTGTGGACGTCAGAGTGTTCTCCACTGCCGTCGAATGAATGGTCCTCGACTGGAATCCTACAAGGCATGACTTTTATACCTGGGCTTTTATAGAGAGCACCTCCGAATGAACTTCGAGTCCTTTCAATAAGAACTTTTCGTATTCTTTCAATTATGACAAAAAGAAACGCTCGCTTCGGAGAATCTTTATCGATAGAGAAGCGTGAATTATGGCATCTAGAAACTGTGTGAAACGCTCTCGGTCAACAGCTGTTATGTTTGGAAAATGCACTTCTCTTAAAATTGTTCACGAATTCATTCATTCATCTGCATTTCTTACCATTTTAACGAACTGCCGCTTGCCTTTGACGTACTGTTGTGTTCTTTGCGGAGGTCGATTAAAATTTCTCCTTCTAAGGTGAACGAGCACTTCCTGTTCAGGCCATGGTTCAAGTGTGAAGGTTCCTTGCAAACTTGACTGATATGGTATAGCCGACACATATTAGGAAAAAACTAGAAATCCACTCTAGTAATACAACTGTTTCGAACTGTTACCACTCGCCATGTTCAGTACAAGATTATGCACTTGTTTGTGCCACAGTGAACAGCATTCCACTTACAGACCGTGATGACTGACACATTTCACGAAAAAGCTAATGCACAGCATTGATAAGAGACCACAAACCTGGGTTACACCACGCAGAAGGGTAGTTTAAAATGAACCTAACTCGGTTAGAGCGGTTTTCAATTGAGTGTCGTAATTGATTAATTAGAAATAACCCGGTTAACTCTCATAGTGCGGCCGCAGCCATTATATTATTCTAGACACAACGCTGTGTGAATTCATTAATTTCTTCACATCTTGCTCACTGATTAAGTTGACTTCATCGTGTTATTTTCTAAGTTTAATTATTTAAATCAGGAGCCCGTATTTTCTGGAAGAAAAAATAGGGGGTCCAGAGGGGGGTCCAAATGGGGGTCCAGAAGGGGGTCCAGAAGGGGGTCCAGACGGGGTCCAGATAGGGTCCAGATGGGGTCCAAAAGGGGGTCCAGTAGGGGGTCCAGATCGAGGGGTCCACGTTTTGTACCGACCCGCGACTCCCCGAAAGTAACGCAAAAAAAAAAAAATTGTGGCCGCTGATAAATCTCAAAAGTAGCGACCTCCCAAAAGTAGCGAGCACATTCCGGGTTTCAGTTCAAGCCAATACATGGAGGAAAACACTTATCAGTGCAGCTTTTGAGGATTGTTAACAGCGACTTTATCTGGCTTTGTCGGTGTTACTCGTGCATGCATGTGCAGTTACAACAGGTATCAGAATAGCTGCTTGGCAAGGTAAGTGCATGTTTTGCCTCTTTAAAAACGGTTTATTCCTGAGAGATTTTGGAATATTTCTTTTGTCATTCGAAAGTGGTGTTTGAACTCAACCGGCATATATCTGGAAACGGTCCGCTCAAAATAACTCGTTATATGGGTTAAATTTCTACGCATGAAATAGCCCGCTCCATATCACCAAGAGACCATGATATGATAAAACTCAGCCCTGAAATTTTGGTTCAATGGATCGGGCACGCCTAGTCTCCTCCGCAGCCGTTTTTGGGATCCCAAAAAACCGCTGCTGAGGAGACTGGCTCAAGGCTGACTCGTATTCTTCGTTTGCACTGTCACGCAATAAAAAAATAATTCGGAAACCTTTCAATGGATAAAGTCAAGAAATTGTGATGTTATAGAAGATAAATAAAGAAGACACTTCTCCAAGTTTTAGGTGTGTGCGTTTTCCAAAACTTCAGATATTCGTCGAAAGAGTTTGCACAAATTTACAGAACCCAGTATGGAGCCGCCATGTTGTGGTACCTCCGTTGTACACCAACATGGCGCCCGGAAATAGTGTAAACATCCGGAACTTACTTTAGCTATCTAGGCGACTAACTATCGGTACCGGACAAACAAACATTTAAAGCACTGAAAACGTTTTTCTAATACAGTGTAGTTAACTTCTAAAAAGGCTAGAAAACACGAGATAAGTTTATATTTTTCGACAGACGCGTTCGTAGCTTTAAGTCACGCACCGCCATAACTCTGAAATTCAAAACGCGCACATTTCCAGACGAAACACGCTATTGAGCTGGACAGTTGTAAAAAGATATAAATCTAGCACCCTTTATGCCTGAGGAGGATAAAAGCTTTGGTGTCTCTTTAGTTTTTGGGTTTTAGAACATGATGACGTCATGTGCAAACGATGAATTACTGACTCGTCCCTAGTCGCCTGTATACAGCGCGCGGCACGACACCAAGCTGAGATGGCTACGCCCTTCCCAAGATCCTCTCGCACTGTGCCGCGTGCTGTTCCAGGCGTTCACTTTGCAGTGGGGGAGCATGCGCGAGGAACGGCTGCAAAAACCCGGGGGTTTCTCCTCCGCAGAGGCTGGAACGTTCGTTATAGAAATTCGCTGTGCAGGGCCTAACTTTACGCCTGCACTCACGTCATCCAGTTGCTATTTCTAAACAAAAATTAAGAAGGAGATAACAATTGTCCAAGAGAATATGCTTTTGAATTATGTATTTTATTTTAAAAAAAAAACACATAATAAAATAATAACCTTTATTTACCCTCGGTTGTGGGAGGCGCGATGGCCTCATGGATAGGGCGCTCGACTCCGGAGTGAGCGGTCTGGGTTCGAGCCCGGGCCGGGGACATTGTGTTGTGTTCTTGGGCAAGACACTTGACTCTTACAGTGCCTCTCTCCACCCAGGTGTATAAATGGGTACCGGGGAATGTAATGCTGGGGGGTAGCCCTGCGATGGACTAACATCTTATCCAGGGGGAAGTAGAAATGCTCGTAGTCGCTTCATGCTACTGAAACCGGGATAAGCTCCGGCCTGATGAGCCACTTGGCTCATATGCAGACTTTACCTACCTTATTTTGTCATTTACCCTCGGCATTGTTTATTTCCAATTGCCATCAAGATCTAAATTCAATTTACAGAGTCATTTCATTAGAAAGTAGGCAGTTTAGGAGAACAAGGAAAATTAACAATTAGGAGGTAATAAGTAGTAATTATTACTTCTTTCACTACTACCTCTACGATTATAATTATTATTACTATTTTGTTAATATTTATTGGGGTTGAATATTCAACTGGGACATCGTCCTGTTTTCTGCTCCAGTTGCTGATGCTATTTTCCTTTCTTTCTTTTTATTGTACATGCAGCAAAATGCAAATTCAATAAAGTTAAAGTTAAAGTAAGGGAATCAAATCTGTTCTCCACGCAAACAGCGGGAATAAACATGGTAAGCCAACACATATTTATATTAAACTCGACTTTTCTAATGGTAAGCAACATACATTTTCAAAAGTGACTGTTGTAATTTTTTGACTACTGTTTATATCGTTACTGTTAGCGTTCTGGTTAGGAGCCTTGAACCTAGACTGAGACTGGAAACGGTCTGTCCTGAGAAGCTGCGGTTAATAAAGAGCTCTAGGATTCAACCCCCAAGAAAGGTTACTCTGACTTTACATATTCCACTGAGTCGCTGCCTGTGCTACAGCATCGTCAAATGGCATCCAATGCCTGTCCGAAAACTAACTAAAACAAGTCTTAAAAATCCCACATCAAAATATAGGGTTGCTTGAGCTTGTGAAACGAAAATTCAAGTTTTCGCTGGCTTGTAGAATAGAAAGGAAACCTATGATTGTTAAATACGGTTAAACACTAGTAAAGAAATGCGTTTGGAGTACACGAGGACGGCTTAACGATTTTTACTTTTCCGTTAATACCAAATCGAAAGGAGTTCCAGTGCAACACGCTTCCCTTCCCATTTAAGCACCTTTTCGACATCTGTGAAACCTCGATGGCGGACACAATTTCGTTCCAAATGTTGAAATTTCCCAGCTCACCAATGAATGGCCGTGGCTCAAAGGTTTTATCTGTGATTTGCTCTTGACCAAGGACCAAACTTCCTCCTGAGGGAATGATGTGACCAGCTTTAAAACTGTTGCCATTGCTGATCGCGACGCCATCTTTGAAGAACGCCCACGATCCGTCTGTGTTATCCCACGTAGTACAGATGTGGTGCCAGTCGCCATCATTTATTGTCACAGAGATCGCTCTGTTGAGAGAAAATGCAAGTCGGCAACAACGTTTACTGGGAGAAACAGCAAGATCTTTAGCTGTGCTAAAGTTTTGGTGGTACGCATTTATACTGGTAAAGTGGAGAGAGATACTAACAGAGTTAAGTGTCTTGCCTAGGTACGTATTAAACTGAGCCGACCAACTATGGAAGTCCAAGTCGTCGTGATAACTATTAGGTGACTGCGTTTTTTCGCATGTTCTTCGCATGCGTTTCTTCGCATGTACCGGCAAGAAATCAGAGAAATTAAAACAAAAGGCAGCTTAAGCCAGGACGAGAGTTTGAATTTCGGCTAATTGAAACAAATGGCAGGAATGTAATTAAACAAAGGACAGCGTAAAAAAGAACAGGGGTTTCAATTTCGGCTAGGTTTTGCTGAATAAAGAACATGTCAGCTGACGTCTAATAAACGTTGTATGGAAAGCCACATATATGCACTAGGACTTCTACATCCTTGCGGCACACCCCCAGCAAACATTCCTTGGGATACTTCACTAACGCTTGAGAAAGAGCTCTGCAGATAGAGGCTCAGGGACACGCAAGGGATCTGTTCATTGGAAAATCTGTCCCCCAGTCAATTTTCGCCAAAGCAACTTGTGACCACTTACTTGGATTCTGTCCCCACTGTGAGCTCCACTTGCTTCGTGTCCATCAGAATCATCATCAACTCTTTGGTTTCTTTAGTTCCTAAGTAACTGAAGATGGTCATGTGATGACCGCGGGAAGGTTTCATCCAGAAGCAAACGCTAAGCTGTGGTAGATGAGCCATCCCACGTTTCCGCACGAAATTACCATCAGCTCCCTCGGCAGGGAACAATAAACTGAAATCTTAATTACAAAAAAAAAAAAAAACCTTCATTAGAGAAACAATTTGACTGTGCTAATGATTCACAGGCCACATTCACATTCAATACGGCCACTTGGGCAACTAACGCCAGCTGATTCCCCTGAAATGAATAAAGAGATGTTACACAAAACTGGAAATGAGTTTCAATCGAGTTTTGTTTAGTTTATATATTCGTTTCTTTCAGTTTAAGCGGCATGTCTGTGAACTAGCTAGATGTAGCTAAGCGCATTGACCACTATAGCACAGCAACAATTGGACAACAACATTTCAACATCGCGTACAACCATGATTGGTTGTGAAAAATTTCCTCAAGAAACGACTATTCGCAAATTACATCAATCGCTCTGAATCGTACCTTTTTTTCCAATCCGAGTATTTGATAACGACTCGCAAATTTCACGGCCCTGAAAAATTACGGCATGTAAGTAGTTTTACGGCTTTTTTTTATCTAAAAACTTAGATGACTTTTTTCTCCTTGCTCACTCACTCACTCACTCACTCACTCACTCACTCACTCACTCAATGATAAAAGTACATATCTCACTTGTGATTCTTGGCAGCAAACGGATTAAATATCAACTTTATGTCCCCGATTATGTCACCATGTATTATTTTTTCGTTTTACAAGAATCATCCTGAAAATGACCCTCATAAACGGTGCAAAGAAACCCTGTACCTTTTTAAAAATAGAAGATGAATCAGAAGAGTCCCAAAAATTATCTGAAGGAAATGTGTATGAAAGATTCCTGAAGGGTGCCAGGAAAGATCTCGAGATTTTTCAACTATATATACTACCAAAATTAATCTGATATCACTAAACTGAATGAAAGGAAAGTTCAACTGACATTGATATGTTCCCGTGTATACAAAATCTTTTATTTGTTCTCGTTTAAATTCAGTTCTTTCACACCGACAAGAAAGGAAACCTTTATAATTGTATTTACAGTAGCTCACAAAGTTAAAACGTGTACGAGATAAGAATATCAATTCATCTCACCCTTGGTGAAGCCAGTTGCTGAAATACTGCTCCATCTAAGAACATCAGGTGGCCTTTTATGTCACATAAGTCTTCCAGCCCGCAATCGATCATTTCACAAACACCAAGACTATGAGTGGAGTGAATAAAGTTGTACGAGATACAATGGGGATCATCTTGGCAAGCTTGAATGCAGTTTAACCAGTCATAGTCTTGTAAAGAGCGATAAACATGACTCACTAACATACGGCTGGGGAGAGTTATTGGATGAAAGGTAAAAGTCCAATTCACCAGAGAGAAAAGAGATAACATATTTAACATTTTAGCGGGGCGAAAATCTAAATCCATCTGTAATGTTCTCCGATACGGTCACTTTACATGTGAAGCGTCATGAATGACGATTTTTTTTTTATTAGAGTCGTTGGTTTTTGTAAAGCTGCTTAAATATGGGATGTCCCGATTGACTCTACACGTCAGAAGGTTTTTGTTACGGGCCATTATGGTGCATTAGTTTGGCATCGTCATCGAGAAATGTGAAAAAAGGGTTTTAACAACGACATCTGTGTCAACTTTCATTTATTTAGTTGCCAAAACATACAAATAAAAACAATGCAAGGAAAAGAGGAAAGGCTAGAAGAGAGGAAACCTTACTTTCTCCTCTCTTCCATCGGCAAAGAAAAATTATAAAGTGGCATTATATGGTACACCCTAATGCAAAAAACAACATCATTCACAAATCCTTCGCTAACTATGTAATGTATTACAGATTGGAACATTGGTTATTCCCAAATGAACTGAATCGCGCTTTAATTAAACTGCACTGGTGACACTCATGTTTCCAGGCTCTCGCTTTCAAAATGTAAGTATGGGACAATAGGGTGGCGACGTGATACATTCATACAGTATGTACTAGCCTCTAAGAAGCGGTACTCAGTTAGTAAACTGCTCTTTAACTTTGCAAATAAGGTTCGGTTTTGGTAAATTGTGGGCGCGCTTTTTTGAATTTCTTTTACAAAGGTAAGCGCTTGCGCACCAAAACGTTGGGCATCCCTCGGATACTCACGATGCTGTGGATTGTTAACAGTCACAGGAACAAACATTAGTCCTTAGCCTCGGAATTTCAGCTCCACAGAACACATGACATGCAACTGAGAAGCCCACCAACTCTCCTTGTCATATTGTGTGGGGTAAGGTAAAATGTGTTTGATGGCTTTATAGTGAAATGCATTAAACATTGCATCAAACCACACCGTTGGAACAGCCATTGATGTTTCATTAATACCACATTTCATTCGTCTTTTTTGCAAAATTGATATGGCATTTTGAGGCCCCCGGCTGATCAACAATACCAACTGCTGGCTCATAATCTAAGAGCCATGCTTCAAAGGCTCTAAACGGTGACACTACCCTCATTTCATGAGGAGTTAATGAATTGAATCGAAGATCTACATCATCATCTAAGAAGATGTAATAATGGTAGCCAGGCAGTCTCTCCCTTGCAGTAGAGTACAAGATATTTCGCCCTAAGTTCCAAGAGCCTTCTCCAACAAATATGTAGGAGATGTGCGTTCGATTATCCTCTTGACACACTGTTCGGTAACTTAACACTATTACATCACAGTTACACGCATTCTCGTCTCCAATCGGCTCAATAAGATTCTGAGGGAGACATTTCTCAGTCTGGGTCAGATGAATAAATGGCTTTGAAGTCGTTCCTACTGAGCTGTTAACTTTAGCTTCACTGAGTTGAGTTGAAGTCTTTGTTGTTCGAGCTGTAATGTTGCCTTTTGCTTCCGTGAATTGAACTGGTTGTGTTGTCCTTGATGTTGCGGTTTGTGCTGTACTGCATTGAGCTGTCTGGTACGTTGTCCTTACTGTTGTGTTAGGTTGGGATTTACCGGGTTGAGCTGACTGCGTGGTAGCTGTTGTGGCTACTTGCGCTTTAATTGATTGAGCTGGTCCATTTGTCGATCTCACTGTAGTGTATCCTTCACTAAGTTGAACACGAGTTTGCACACCTTTGGTATTGTCCTCTCGAATAGTAGCTAGGAAAAGGAAGATAAGAAATACTGATTTTATAAAGATAAGCGAAACAGGCAATATCACAATTCAATACGTGACTGATGGCAGGCTGTGAAGTGCATGCCTAATGAAGCTTCTTGGTATTGTCACATTTGCAGGCCGATATCATGATCAAAATCAAATCAAATCAAGTATATCAATAGCATAACCAAGATGCATACGTATTTCGGAAAACATCGAAACCCTACCTACAACACGGATAGGCTTCTAAGCCCCAAGAGACCTTCTGGGATTGAAAAGCGAGTCAACCGATCAAACTTTATGGTGCTGCCAATTATATTGGGATACAATTTATATCAGTGTTATGCACTCCATGTATATTATCTTTACTCCAACGGGTGAGAGGGCAGATTGTAGAATACTATCTAAGCGTACGTATAGTACACAGTGGTTAATTCAGTTCTTCTTGGTTTGATAAAACTCAGCTCTCGGTTGGAAGACTAATTGTGTTCACTGAGCTTTTTACAAGCAGTTCTATTTATCACATGCATGAAAGACACCCTCTACAGTAACTTTAAGCATAGTGATCATGATTACTAAGTTTCGCCTGCTAAAATATCAGTTAATCCCCAACGAACGAAGCTTACTAGTCAAGGGAAGCAGAGACCTTAACCAATTGCAAACTAGAAAAATAAAATAATCTTAAGCAACAGCTAACCTTGACCGTACCTGGGGGAGGTAGTAGCCAAGTTAAGGTCGCAAGAACGACATAAACAATACATGTGACTTCCGAACACAAAGTTCTACTGAATGAAATGTTTCCAACGCAAACGGAAGAAGCGTTCAAGAATTGAGTGTGACACATACACTCTTTTTTTATGTAAGAACGTCTAATTTTGGAACTGAGGCTGAACATTCTTATATTTTTTTGCGTTTTGAGGCTGAAAACGTTCTTAAGATGTTCTTAAATTTACATGGTATGAGAATATTAAATAATGAAGACAGGCCGGCACGGACTACCTACATGATAGATGTGATGTGATTACATGTGTCTCTCATAACTTGGCTCTTCAGAGCTTGTCTTTGAGAGATCTACCTCTTTTGTAGGCTATAATAGGTGGATTTCTGAGGATGGTTTTCAGCAAAGGCTGATTTTGTATTAATGCCCATGATAAGTATTTGGGTTAATTTACATTTTTTGTTCCCTTTATTTTATGTTTGTCATTTAGTATACAGATTAGCAAAAGAAAAACGTTCTTAATAGACTCCCAGCCTGAGGAATGTTCTTAATACGTAATTAAGTTCTTAAAATTTTGATTAACCCAGCCTCAACGTTCTTATAAAAAAGTTCTTATAAAAAAAACAAAGTGTATGGGAGTACACCTTAGCCTGCCAAAACTAAGCTTCTTAAAAACATAACTTCTAAATATATAGTAGCACAACATCAGTTGTATGTTGTAATGTTGGTTGATTTCTTGAGATGGTCCCCGGAATAACACATACACTCGATGAGATCTTTTAACTTCAGTTTGAAAATTATATTTGATGTGGCAGGACACGAAACACCAATTGGAGCAGTTGGCTTTCAGTTAATCCTAGGCTACTCTTCACAAGAGCATCAAAACAGCAACGAAATATAGATTAATTATATTCCTAGGAATATTATTATCCTAAAGGAAATTCATGCGCCTCGCTCGGATCATGGTTCGTAGTTATTATTATTATTATTTAGTTTTTATTATAACATTTTAGCCTTATTTTTATTTATACGCTCACTAGAATCTTCAGAATTGAAGGAGGTGAGTCGCCCAGGAAGAAGAAGAACAAGAAGTGGAAACTTAGTAGAGCAACACTATATTTACTTTGAATTTCGAATACGGTCTTTGCTTTGCTTAAAGCGTTTTTGTTTGAGCCAGTAAAACCTGAGATATGTAAATAGTTTTGGTTTCTTCCGAAATAATTGATCCCTTGTGCGGTTCTATGAAATTCAGCAGGCTGAGCAGCTCTTATAGGGGTTTAAAGAACAAAGCATTTCGTTCTGAAGGCATCTAATATTTCTAACAAATGAGACTCTCACCGTCTCTACCACTTGTTTCTTGTGTTCCAAATGCTGTTCTGTACAGGTAAGCAATGTAGAACAGCGAAATTACAAGACTGACAATCAGCAGCAAATTGAACTTCTTTTGTGTGATTCGAGTCATTCGGAGACTTGCTCTTGCTTTTAGGATCTTTTAGTTGGCGTTTGATATTTCGAGGTTGAACTGAACACGTCATTATTATCCAACTGCAGCGAATATAGCCTGCGAACGCCAACCAATTGACAGCTGGAAATACGTCTGTGTTCGCAGGTTACATTGTAAGTTAAATTGTAACAATCTGTTCCCAGTGTTCCAATCAGCATATCGACAGAACCACAGAACCACAGCACAGAAACTGCACTGCTTAAAGTTATGAATGACATTCTCCTTAACATGAACAATCAATGTATTACTTTGCTAATTCTGTTCGACTTGAGTGCTGTCTTTGATACAGTTGATCATGATACTATGCGACGTCGACTTGAATACTCATTTGGTATACAGGGAAAAGCTCTCTCCTGGTTTGCGTCCTATTTGTCTGGAAGAAGACAGCGGATAATGATTAACGAGTCACTATCTGAACCTTTCAACTTAGAATGCGGCGTGCCTCTAGGTTCCTGTTTGGGTCCGCTATTGTTCACGTTGTATACAAGTATGCTTTTTGAGATCATTAAATATCATCTGCTCATGATTCACTGTTACGCTGATGATTCACAAGTTTACATCTCATTTAGTCCGTACGACAGCTGAGCAACTTGCTGTGGTGAGGAATATAGAAGACTGCATCAGAGACATTCGGTTCTGGATGTTGAATAATGATCTTAAATTAAACGACGACAAGACTGAATTCCTCGTTATTGGTACATCACAACAGCTGGAAAAGCTAGACAATATCAGTGTTCGTGTGGGTGACTCAGATATTCATCCCGTGCCAATCGCGAGAAATCTTAGTTCTTGGTTTGATTCTAG